ACATCTACCGCGCCCTTTGGAGACGGTGTAATGAAGTTTCTCGAGACTGGTCGATTCGAAACCGATCTGGTATACGCACTAACTGACAGTGTTCAAATAATGCAACACCCACTCTATGATTTTACAAGTTAGCGAGGTTGGATTATGCAACTAATATTTTTCACTCTCTAATGATGTTTACCTGCTCACACTTGAGTGGACTTTGTAAAATATTTTTACGTATTCATGCTGTTATGTATGCTGTCAATTTTTCCGGTATAATAGCACTGATAATGTACCCACTCGCTATCGCCAAGGTGACCGAGGAAATAGAAACGAATAAACAAGAAGAGTTGTAAAAAGTCAGTGAGCGCGGTCCACATTGAACGAAATTTGTCTTGCTTATAGAATAAATAATTTAGCGTAATGTAGCTCAAATACCCTTTATCCTATTTCGTTTCTTTCAATATTAGGGATGCGCCTATGAGCTCCGACCGGCATGCTGCCCTAGCTTTATATCTATCGTTACAAATACGCGCACGATAAATTACGTGAGCTAAAGTTTATTTGTGCATCACGCACAGAGAAAGCTTCTCATTATTCCGATGTCATTACCAAAAACCTAATTAAGTCTTACAACCTCCGCGACTGCAGTGTAAGGAACACTGGCATGCAAAAAAACGACAAGAATGTTAAGCAATGTAAATAAATGTTATAATGACTATCTTATTAAAATAAAGTGCTTGGACTAAACTATTCTGGAATTACAAAACATGAAGATGGTAGGCTAATCGCCGAATCCTTCTACGTAGTAAATTCCATTGAGGATCTGAAAGTTAAGAAAACTAGATCATGTAGCAGCTATTACAGAACAAAAGCAAACAATGCTTAAATAATGACCAAGGAAAGAACCAATTTTGAAAAAAACTTAGGGATCACACTTTGACACAGATCTATGTACAGTAACGTAGGCGAAACAAATAGGACTCACACCAAAACAATTTCAAAATACTGCTAGAACTAGAATGTGAAAATCTAGAACAGCAAATTATTTAGAGGAAAATTTAATCTTTAATAGCTTAGCTTAAAGCTTCGAGATAGGAAATAATATGGCTAAGGATATGTCTAAGGGAGCGCTCTCTTGTTAAAAAAGCTGAACGCTCAATAAATAAAAGTCAGAAGAGTGATGTCCTGTGTCTTAGAGAAAAATTTTAGAATAGGAATGGGTAAATTGAGCCTTTTAAGGACTCCTTAAAACAAATGACCTCTCAAACTTTTGTGACCCTACTCGCAATTTTCTAATAAAACCTGATTACTCAGATATTCTTCAATAACTGTTATCATGAAATCTCAAGCCTTATCATAATAAAAAAATATTTTCCTATCTGCTGCAACGCCTGTACAACCTCTGTTTCGATGTATTTTCCTGAAGCACTATACGTCTAAACAGCAGTATTTTCTGTTTTTAATAAATTGCTCGGGAAAGTCCTAGATAGCCAACTAACTTAAAATAAAACTTGCTTGAGCGAACCATAGGGAATGAAGAAAACCCAGTTGTACCTTTTTTGTATCTAAGGGTTCGATCGTGTTAATTGAAAACAACTAATTAATAATCTACTTTTTCTTGATTTATATATTCAACTAGTAGAGAACGTCCAGTAAAAATCGCAGATGACAAACCTAGTTTGAAAGCCAATATGTAATTCCGTAAGGTTAGGTTATAGGATCCCGTTTCCTCAACATACTTTCACATGATTAATATGATTTCTGTACCGACATAAAGAAAACGCGCTTTGCTGACGGCACCTATATCTAAAATACAAGTAGCATAAGCGATAAGGCGAAAGGATTAGACAGCGATTGATAAGAATTAACTTTTGGCGAAGTGTATATGCTTGGGGTTTAACATAAGCACCATAAAGAGAAGCTAGGTGTCAAACGACACGAATGCTGTTTCTTTACATCTTAAACAAGGAGCAGAATGAATTCAGCATGCAAACCATTGATTAAGGTAACAAAAGCCACATACTCGGTTGCATCATCGTTTTACTAGAAAAAAATGTTACTGCCCGCTCACATGGGAAGTTAATGATAGTAAATATTTAGGCCTTATATAGCAATCTCAAATGGGTTATAGGGGAGAATAAAACCATCTGAATCAAACTTTGCCTCACCCTATCATTAAAAGAAACCGGTGCCCAGAAAAAAAATTACTCCAGTATATTAATCAGACTTTATTATGTGGCCCAAATTAGTTCACTACTATCCATTTATTTTTGAAAGAATAGCAATTGAAGACATTAATGCCATTGAACCATATAGCCCTACAAAATAGGACTAGTGAATCATTCAGCAAACCTAAAAGGAAAATGCGTTTTTATTTAGAAAGGGCTGTAAATATGGGCTATTGGTGGCCGAATTAAGTATATCAAAAATATGATTTGCCTGCCATATTTCCACGTGTAGTTTTGCTGTGCAAGGCAAAACTAACTTTCGAATAGGCCAGATATATCCACATCCAAGAGCTGCGTTTTCCTTAAGAAGAGAGCAAAGAATGCTAGCAATATGTATAACGTTCTCCAAAGCCAACTTAACCGAACTGGAACCATTGCGCATATGTTTACAGCAACAGCATTGGTAAACCTATGGGGGTAAACTGAAATTCTAGAGTACACAGTTCCGGATAATTTGGTCAGACATACGCTAAGGATACCAAAAAAGTCAAACAACTCAAAAACTATCATCATTTGAGACAAGTATGTAAAACTGTTTAACTTGTAATTCAAATATCCACAAGGACAGCCTTTTCAAATGAAAAATTGTTGTATAGTTGCACAAAATTCTTACAGCTAAAACGGAGGCTGGCAAATGCATCACGTTCTCAGACACACACTAAATCGTGCCACCAAACTGCTACTCGCAGGCGGAAGTCTAAGATGATGTGACGTACAAACATAAAATAAACATCGCTTACAGTCCGGCGCAAAGCCTACCCCGGATAGTGGTCTTTGAATGAGGCTACCAGTTTTTTCTACATAGAAAAGTAATAGTACCCAATCCCATCCAATTTTTCAAAAATTTTCTAACAGGTCAGCTTCTGTTATCTTTGTCGGTCTATTCACAAAGCTTATTAATCCGACTCCAGCAAGGAATTCTAATGTGCATTTTTAATCCACATTACAGTTTTGCCCTTCGAATGCAATAAAATATTCGGTCAAAAGCGGATTTTCTACTGTCTCTAATAACCTAACGTTGGGGTGCCCCTGATTTGCCAAACGTAGACCACGAGCTGACGAAGGATACTGATCAATATTCAATTAAAGAAATCAAAAGAATCACTTATACTTAAAAAAAAAAGAAATGTGAATTATCTGCATGGTTGTTTCTAGTACGCTCCACATGCGGCTACAGACCTCCATTTAGTAGAGAAAATGACGTTATCTCTTGTTTTTTTAGGGTTGGTTTCGAAATTGGCGATTTCTTCTTGAATGAGCCCACGACAATCCCTCACCTGACGCTAATTCAGACCACGCGAAAACAACAGTACCGTTTAAGTCTCAAATTTTCAAGATTAAAGGTCTGAAACAGTACAAATATGCTAACTAATAAACTAAAA